GCCAAGGACCTGTTTGTCGGTTAATTAAATGCTGCAATTTATCTCTGGCTCGGAGTGTGCTTTGGTGTGGAACGAGGGGGGTCAGAGCAGTAAACTATAGTAAAGTATAGTAAAGTATAGTAAAGTATAGTAAATTAAAGTAAACTATAGTAAAGTATAGTAAAGTAAAGTATATTATAGTAAAGTATATTATAGTAAAGTAAAGTAGAATAATAAATAAAATAAAACATCCCTCTTCCAGATTAGCTTCTGTTGACACTTCAGGTGGACTTCAAGTCCCAGAATTCTCTTCTGCTGTCACTACTGCTGCTGCTGAGAATTCTGGGACTTGGAGTTTCCATATGTAGAGTACCGCCTGGTTTTGGGGGTGGGGTGGGGAGCTGTTCTAGACAAAACACAGATTGGTTCTGTCCAATCTTGACAATCCATCTTGGCTAATAGTATGGATTTGTCTAAGCGTAGTCTGCAATCCCTTGCGTAAAAATGAAACGGTTTGAGACATCCATTGCATTCTACTTCACTTGAGGATGAGTTCATACAGCACAGTTAAACAGATGAGTTCGAAATCTGGGGGTAATGCTAAGATTAGCTAGCAGTGGCCAAAGTCTTGTTTTGCTCTGTCCACACTAGTGTTTTTCAATCTTGGCAATGTTAACCTTTATGGACTTCAACTCCTACAATTCCCCAGACCAATGTTTCTCAACTGTGGCCTCTTGAAGACGGATGGACTTCAATTCCCAGAATTCCCCAGCTAGCATTGCTGACTGCAGAACTCTGGGAGTTGAAGTCCACAAGGCTTAAAGTGGCCAAGATTGAAAAAAGTGGGCCTAGATAGAGCAGAAAAGGCCATAGGAGGGGTCAGTGGCTTTGGCCTGTTAGTTAATAGCATTGCTGACTAGAGAATTCTGGGAGTTGAAGTCCACACGGCTTAAAGTGGCCAAGATTGCAGGCCTAGATAGAGCAGAAAAGGCCAGAGGAGAGGTCAGTGACTCTGGCTAGCATGGCTGGCTGGGGAATTCTGGGAGTTGAAGTCCACCCATCTTCAAGTTTGAGAAAAGGTTGTGTATGTCCTAACTAACAACCGAAAACCTGGTCTCAATTGTAGTCGTAAGTCAAGGCCTTGCCTGTCCACAACGACAGAGCTGCAATGAAGGTGGTCACTAAAACGAGGACAGCAGGGCTGACTTCCTTACCCCCTGACACCGCTGGAAGTGGTATTTCAGGCCATAGATGCTTGGGAATTCCAGCCAGCAACCCGAGTTAGGACATTTCACCCTGGAATGAGCCTTAAATTCATCCTTCCATTGATTCATCAGAGACAGCTGAGAGGAGAAAGCCCATAAAAGGAGAGAAAAAAAAAGAGAGAGACAAAAAAGGGAATTTAAAAAATCAAGAAAGGGGGAGCAGAAAGATTCAAAGAGAGCGCAGCTTCGTTCCTCAGCTCAATCTCTATTGAACCCAAGGCTTTCCATAGAACCTTCTAAGGCAGTGTTTCTCAACCTTGGCAACTTTAAGTCCTGTGGCCTCCACCTTCCAGAATCCCCCAGCCAGCGTAGCTGGCTGGGGAATTCTGGGAGTTGAAGTTCCCAGGACTTAAAGTCGCCAAAGTTGAGAAACACTGTTCTAGGGTTAAAATATTTCCGTTCCAGGGGAAAACGAGGATCAACCCGAGAACAGAGACTCATGCAGAGATAGTTGCACGAAACTAAAATCTTGCCAGAAGTAGATTGACTAAGACTTCATCCTAGCTCAATCATCGTTAACTTTTAAGGTGTTTGTGGACTTCAACTCCCAGAATCCCCCAGGCAGCATAGCTGGCTGGGGAATTCTGGGAGTTGAAGTCCACAAACACCTTAAAAGTTAACGATGATTGAGCTAGGA